GACAGGGATCCGGTTGTCAGGGGTTTAAACGCTGGGTCGCGGCCGGCCGTCATTCAGCAGGGCACCGTGCTAGCTCACGCGGCACGGGTCCCTGCGGAAGAGCGGCTGGTTGCGCAGGCTGATCCGAGCCCCACTCAAAACGTTAATCCGAAGGAGGACCTCGAATGGGTCGATTCGCTGTGCGCGCGACACACAAATGCTGATGCTCTGTCGCGATTGTTGCCTTGTCACAAATGTGCGTGCTTATCGGGATCGGCGCGCTGTAGACCGCCAGTTACGGAAGGCGAGGGGGCATTGGTTGCGACCGCGGGCACACCAATTGGGGATGGTCCCGCTACCCCAGGGGGTCAGGACTCGCTGCTCTCACTGTCGCTGATTGAGTGGGGCCGTCTCCAAATGGTGGACAGCTCTCTGCTAGCATTGCGCCGAAGGACGGGGGGTTCCGAAGGCGACCATGAACGAACTGGCTCCTACGTACTTAAGCAAGGCCTGTTAATGAGATGGGACAGTTTGTCCCGGCGGCACGCGATTGTGGTGCCTTCTGCTGTGAAGGGGAAAATTGTCTTGGCCGCACACGAACGCCTCTTGCATTTGGGAGTTAACAAAACGCTTGCCCTACTTCAGCGTGACTATTATTGGCCGGGAATGGGGGGTGACGTGGTGAATATTCTGAAGGGTTGTGTTGAGTGCGCCAGACGGAAACCACCGCCCGTGGCAGCTAATCCACCGCTGCAATCCATCCAGGTCTCGCGCACTAACGAGCTCGTTGCACTCGATATTCTGGGGCCTTTTCCGGTCACGCCTAGGGGTAATAAGTACCTGTTGGTGGGGGTCGAATATTTTACCCGGTGGCCTATGGCGTGGCCACTCGCCAACCAGTCGGCGGCGGCTGTGACGGACGCCTTTGTCCAGGGCTACGTCCTGGACAAGGGGGCTCCCGAACGCTTGCTGACTGACCAAGGGAAAAATTTTTCGAGTAAATTACTGCAAGAGGTGTGCGACCTGTTGGGTACCAAGAAGGTGCGTACCTCCCCGTACCACCCGCAGACGGACGGGATGGTGGAGAGGCTTAACAGGACATTGACTTCTATGTTGTGCCAGCAGGTGTGTGAGGCACATGTTGATTGGGACCTGCAGGTCCCTGGGGTCCTTGCCGCGTATAGAATGGCCCCCCATGCAGCTACGGGATTTTCCTCGTTTTATCTGATGTACGGTCGGGAAGCCGACCCGCCCATGGAAACGCAGCTGGGTCTGCCCGCACCACGAACTAATTCGAAATTGGCAGAGCATATTAAATTCAATATTCATAAGCTGACAGAGGCAAGGGAGGCCGCACGGCTTAATTCGCGGGCTCGCCAAATTGCAAACGAGCGGTTGCGGGCACGGAAGGTGTCCGTGCAAATTGGGAACCAGGTGACAGGGCCTGGCTGCATTGCCCTCAGGCACCTTTGGCTACGTCACCTAAATTGTTGAAGCCGTGGCGGGGACCCGTGGAGGTCGTGCGGGTTGCACGCCCCCAGTGCGTTCAGATAAAATGGGGAAAACGCCGTTGGTACGTCCACCCCTCCCGACTGAAACCGTTCTCGCCTCCATATGGCCTCCCCTTGTGTCGTGAGGGCCGAGCATGTGACGTGACCGACGACCCTAAGGGGGAAAGGTCTTTGCTTGAGCCTCACATGTCTCCGCCTGATCCGCTCCCAGGTGTCTCGGAACTGACAGCTGCCGACCACCGGCGGCCGGATCTTCGCGGCGGGGCCGGTCCTTCCAGGCCCGATCCGCGCCGTCTAGAGCTGCCGGAGCCACCGGACGGTCGCCAGCGTCCCGTCCCATATGACGGACCGGCCAGACGGACTCGCGCTAGGTCGCGCTACTTTTTATGACCTACCACGTGAGGAGTCGAGGCAGCCGGAGCGCCTCGTCACTGCGTTTAGTCACAGAGACACTTGGCGCGTTCGTTTTCTGGTGTTCGCTTTTATTGTGTTGTTCGTCGGGCTGTATATTGCTTCTTATTTAAGTGTTGTTGTTGTGTTGTTGTTGTTGCGTTACGGGGCACACTGAGAGGTGGAGTTTCTTTGTTACTGCATTGACGTTAGGTTGTGTTGTTGGTTAACAGCCGGGCCGGCTGCAAGCTATGTGGGAGGGGGTGATGTAGAGGTGATACGCGCTGGGATTAGAGATCGTATGCCAGCGCGTGATGATTGGCTGTGTAGGTGGTGACGTGCGCTGACGGTGGGAGGATCAGGGGTCAGCGCGGGGTCGTGGGTTACGGGGTACTGATTGGCTGTGGGCCGGTGACGTGCTGAGAGGGAGTGATTCGGGTGGCAGCGCGGTGTGATTGGTGGAGGAGTGTTAACACGCGCTGGGGAAAACGGATCGTAGAGAGAGTGCGTCGTGATTGGTTCATTAAGGAGCGATGCTCACGTTGAAGTACGCATCAGCTCCGCCTCTCGTGAGCAGGGGCTATAAAAGGGGATGCACACAGGCGTGAGGGCAGTGTGTAACCAGCGAAGAATGAAGACGGGGATGAAGACCTAGGGCCCTGCGGTACCTAGTCCCGCTGTCCTAACGGGACCGGGACTCTGTGTAACCCAGAGGCGAGTGTAGTGTGTGTAGCCATAGGCATAAGGTCTACACGAGCCGAATGCAGTGTGTGTAGCCAGGGACATAGGGTCTACACGAGTCGAGTGTATTGTGTAGCCAGGGACATAGGGTCTACACGAGTCGAGTGTATTGTGTAGCCAGAGACATAGGGTCTACACGAGTCGAGTGTATTGTGTAGCCAGAGGCGTAGGGTCTACACGAGTGAAGGGTATCGTGTGTAGCCAGAGGCCTAGAGTTTACACGAGATTAGTGGAGTGTGTAGTCGGAAGAAAGGAGACCACACGTTGTATTGTGACACGTAAAGATTTAATAAAAGTGTGTTCCCGTCAAGAAGTTCCTGCCGTCAATTCCCATACTTCACATACATAATGTATAGACATAATGTACATACATGATGTACATACATAACGTACATTACATATGTTGATTAAACCGTGAAAACCCAAGTAACAATATATTCCCATTGTAATTTATATGAACACATTAACCCCCAATGCCCCCCTCTGGTCGTCGCACCTGATTGGCTCACAAGTGACGACATCACGTACGTACGGTGCGAAAGAAGCTCAACCTACATGTCTACATGCGTGTAAGATCACCAGGAAACGTGGAGACGTCACCGCCACTCGGTGCCGAAGGGCGGCCGAGGTTGCGGTGTCGGTCATCGTGCGCCTGTGTTAATGAGTGCCGGGGAGAGCGGTGGCGCAGCGGTTGGCGCTGCGCTCACGGCCAAAACCAGCCACGATTATCTGAACCGGTCCTGGGCCTCCTTTAGGTCGACTCAGCCTCGAATTAGTACTTGGTGACCCGTGTGTAGTAAACATCGCCACTGGGGAGGCAAAGGTGGCCGGGCGTGGTGCTGGCCACCCACCCCCTCGTGTGCCACAGTGCCGGCCTTCAAAGGTACCGCTCGCTAACAGCACTTGCCCCAATAGTCTGTCAAGGCTACACGGAGGATCTTTGTCTTTGTTAATTAGTTTGTGGGCATACCCGAGGTCGACTCAGCTTCTGATGAGTACCTGGTATAGAGGTGTGGAGTAAACATCGCCACGAGGGAGACAAAGGCGGCCAGGCGTGGTGCTGGCCACCCACCCACCCCCCTCGTGTGCCAGTCCCGGGGCCTTCAGAGGCGCTGCTGCTGCTCTCGACTAGCGCTCGCCCCCCCAACAGTCGGTTGAAGGACACAGCGGGGGACATGTGTCGTTGTGTGTGAATGTGGGTGTGTTGTGACATTCTCATCAGCAGCGGCAGCCGTCAGTCTCTGCTTGAAGCCATGCTGGTGACCTCTGCAGATGGTTTATAGGCAAGGCCGGGTTGCGACATTCAGTGCCTCATCAGCAGCAGCGGCTGCAGCCGTCAGGCTCTGCATGAGCCAATGCTGGCGACCTGCCCACCCAGCACTTGCAAGCAGAAGGTTATAAAACAGTCTGTAAAGAGGCGCCCACGGTGGCTAGGAGATGTTAACTCCCTCGCCTGGTATGCAGGAGGTCGTGGGATCGATCCCGACCCTGACAACGCCTGCTGCTGTATATTTGGAGTTTGCGTGTCTCTCTTATCTCCCCGTGGTGGTCACGTGGATTTCTCTTCTTTATAATGAACGCCACACGTTCCAGAGTATTTAGCGCTGCTTTCGATGTCCACGTGGTTGATGGTGATAATGCCGCGTTGTTGAGCGATCATTTGCTGCCAGGTCTCTTCTGAAAAAGACGTGGATAGTAGCTCAGTGGGACCTCACATCTGGTGAATAGAACAAAAACGTGGCTTAGTTTAGGAGTAAAATAGTTAAAACTACAACTCGTGCTCGCAAACAGCACTTCCACCAGCAGGTTATAAAACAGTCAAAGAGCCTATGAAGAGGTTATATGGGGGAGCTTTGTTTTATTTAGTTTAACGGAGGGTAGAAGAGAGGGCAGTGGTTAGCGCTGCGCTACAAACCCGATTCCCACTCACGGCCACCACCAACATCACCACCAACATCATTATCACCATCGAAAGCCACCATTATCACCACCATCACCACCACCATGACCAACACGAAGTGACGGTGACGCCACCACGACGCTTGTGCCAGGCCACCATCACGGAGGTGACCTCCATAAGCTGTGCGGGTGTCAAGGGGACTCTGAAGGGTACTCTGAAGGGGACTGGGCACCCCTCCTCCCCCATCCACACCCCCACCCATCACATTCCTGCACGCCCCGGGGGCCGTGAAAGTTGAGAGTGGTAAAAACACAAAGCTCATTTAGAAGTTAAATGGTGAATGATTAACTCACCTCTAGCACTCCAAAGGTCGCTTGCTGGCTTTGAGAGTGGAAATATTTACCGGGTGGGGCTAAGGGGAGAGGGGGCCCACACGAGCAGCCAATCACGTCGCTCCGCAGGTAGATTTGACGGAGCGAGGCGCCTCACTCGGTCTCAGTGTCACCTGGGACGACGGGCAGACGCGGGACACGTGGAGCGGGAGAAGGGGACACACGCGTGGAGGGGAGACGACGCAGAGACAGCAGCGACAGGGGGCGACACAGGAGGGGCGCAGAGGGACAACAGGGAGAGACGCAGGGAGCGACTGAGGGACAACAGGGAGAGACGCAGGGAGCGACTGAGGGACAACAGGGAGAGACGCAGGGAGAGACTGAGGGACAACAGGGAGAGACGCAGGGAGAGACTGAGGGACAACAGGGAGAGACGCAGGAGAGACGCAGAAGGACTCAAGGAGAGGCACCGAGCGGAGTGGCCATGGCTGACAAGGCAGCGGCAGGAGCGGCGGCGGCGGAGAGCGGGGGCTGGAAGGAGTTCATCTGGAACAAGCAGAAGAAGGAGTTCATGGGGAGGACGGGCAACAGTTGGCGTGAGTAGCGGGGGGCCTGGGACCCAACGGGGGGACCCTGGGATGGGGGGGGGGATCTTGCGAACGTGAATTCGTTGAATGAGATCCGTCCGTTCGTAAGTACGTAAGTAAAGCCGAACGGTTCGTAAGTTCGGAACGCAGCGATGCTTCTTCGATGGCCATGACAGCGCAATGTGTTAACGGTTCAACAATGAAAAAACACGGAAGCGTGTGTTAGCACTCCGATATAAAACAAGACAATATTTGTACGTTTGCATGCGGGACTGTAAAACAAGAAAAACAGGCCATGAAGTAAATAAAACAAAGTAAAGTAACATGAGCAGAAACACATTTCATTTGTATTTGTACTCAGACTGGCTCGCTTGTCAGAAGGGGGCAATGAGTCACCACAATTACACACACACACAGACACACACACACACACAGACACACACACAGACACACACACAGACACACACACAGACACGCGTAGAGACACGCAGATACACACACACAGACACACAGACACATACACAGACATTCACACACACACAGACACACACACAGACATTCACACACACAGACACACACGCAGACACACACAGACACACACACAGACACACACACAGACACACAGACACACACACAGACACACAGACACACACACAGACACACACAGACACGCGTAGAGACACGCAGATACACACACACACGCAGACACACAGACACACACACAGACAGACACACACACAGACACACAGACACACACACAGACACACACAGACACACACACAGACACACTGACAGACACAGACAGACACACACACAGACACACACACAGACAGACACACAGACAGACACACACACAGACACACACGCAGAGACACGCAGAGACACACACAGACACACACACAGACACACACAGACAGACACACACACAGGCACACACACAGACACACACACACAGACACACACACAGACACACACACAGACACAGACAGACACACACACGCAAACACACACACATACATACAGACACACACACAGACAGACACACACACACAGACACACACACACACACAGACACACACAGACACACACACACACACAGACACACACAGACACACACACACAGACACACACACACAGACACACACACAGACACACACACAGACACACATAGACAGACACACACACATACACACACACACACAGACAGACACACACACACAGACACACACACACACAGACACACACAGACAGACACACACACAGACAGACACACACAGACACACACACACATAGACACACACACACAGACACACACAGACACACACACACAGACACACACACAGACACACACACAGACACACACAGACACACACACACAGACAAAAACAACTAAGAGAAAGATCCCCCGTATGCTGTAGGCCGGCACTGTGGCACAGAAGCGGGTGGGTGGCCAGCACCACGCCCGGCTGCCTTTGTCTCCCCAGTGGCGAAGCTCACGTACTTATCATCACCCCCCATCTCCCGTCTCCTAGACGCCAACCTCCGGTCTCAGCGTACCCACCTGTTCGCCCTCGGTGGCACCCGCTTCTCCCCTTAACTACTGTCGCGTTGTCGGTGCCAGCCTCGTGTTGCAACGCTCCCACCTGTTCGCCCTCGGTGGCACCCGTTTCACAATGCGCACCGCGTATTTCTCTACTCTCCACTAGTTCAGCACCACGCCGATTGCATGCTGGAGAGTGAACCCACGACAGCATTTAGCAAGCAGCCCTCTATTACGGATGATGGTGGGTCGCGAAATCCCGACGACGTGTTAAACAGCAAGTTCTTGTTACTGGTCAAATTGTCCCTTTGGCGGTACCCCGAGGTACCAAATAACACAAAATGGGCCGAGGCAATTCACTGTTTTATTGCTGGGACACGATTTTTGTTCACAGGGGAGTTCTTCACTCCGCGACTGGGGTCCCAATCAATCCGAAATCAGTGCCACTCCGCGATGTCGAAACGCCAAACATCGGCACACAAACATCCGTTATCCAGAAATCCAACTTTGAATCGTGCATTGTGCACAGCTCGTCGAGATGAGTGGATTGCCGCATCGCCGACCACCAACAGACTCAACTCGACTGCGTCACGGACATTGTGCGAGCCCGGGCGCTATGGGGACACCGGGGTAACCGCCATGAGGTTCAAATGTTAGACACCAACCATCACCACAACCATCACCACCACGCACCACTACCACCCAGAACCACCACCACTACCACCACCAACAACAACCACCACCACGCTCCAATACCAATACCCGCCATTCGCCACTAACTGACGGTGACGTCGCCTGTGCCAGGCCAGGTGCACATTGAGGCCACCACCACGCACCACCACCACGCACCACCAACCACCACCAGGGATGACTCGCGCGGTGGTTCGCTGCTGCTGCTGCAGGGCCCGGAGGGAAATCCACGCAGTGACCACCACGGAGAGAGAGACACGCAGAGTCTAAATATACTGCAGCAGCAGCAGGCGTTGTCAGGGTCGGGATGGAACCCACGACCTCCTGTACACCAGGCGAGGTAGTTAACATCTCCTAGCCACCGTGATGATGATGAGAGAGACACGCAGAGTCTAAATATACAGCAGGCGTTGTCAGGGTCCGGGATCGAACCCACGACCTCCTGTACACCAGAAGAGGTAGTTAACATCTCCTAGCCACCGTGATGATGATGAGAGAGACACGCAAACTCTAAATATACAGCAGCAGGCGTTGTCAGGGTCCGGGATTGAACCCACGACCTCCTGTACACCAGGCGAGGTCGTTACTTTTACTGGAATAGCTACGGATGGTTTGTAATCCCCGTATATTACAACAATATGCGAGGCGATAACTTCGTAATATATAACACATTATTGTAGTGAAACCTGTCTAGTGGAGTCTCACGGGTAATAGTATTCGTCGACGCCGTGTTGAAGCCGCGTACAATGCCGACTCACGGGTGAGCGCAGCGTGCGTCTTGCTGCCACGGGCACCAGAGTCCGCAAACGCGGCTCGCGACGTCTCACGACGTCTCGCGTCGCGAGCATTCGTCGGGGGGAAATAAAAACCACGGTCTCGTTTTTAACGTTTTTAACGAGATCGTGTTTTGTTAGTTTGTGCATTTCTGGTGAATTTGTCGGAATGTGTTATTGACTTAATGTTTTCTGCACATTGTCTATCCTTGTTCTTGGATCTCTCGGTAAAGTCACGTATAAAGGAAAAAATAATGAAAAAATAATGAAAAAATAATCATTTTTCCCCACTTCTCCGTGACTTTACCGAAAGAACCAAGAATATTAATCCCTGCAGTCACGAAAGCTTTAAATCAAAATTGTCTATCCTTGTTTAGTCTCGACTTGGGGCGGGTGGGGGGACTGAGATACGGGGGGGGGGGGGACACAGGGAGAGACACGAGGAGACACACGGTGGGGGACATGGGGAGCTGGGGAGCTTCATAGCTCATCGGATTCCTCCTGCAGAATAAATACAGATCTTCTCCCCCGTGTCTCCCCCCCCGTGTCTCCCCCATGCCCCCCGTGTCTCCCCCCCGTGTCTCCCCGTGTCTCCCCCATGCCCCCCCGTGTCTCCCCGTGTCTCCCCCATGCCCCCCCCGTGTCTCCCCCCCGTGTCTCCCCCATGCCCCCCGTGTCTCCCCCATGCCCCTCTCATCTCCCCGTGTGTCCCCAGTGAAGATCGGAGGCTTCTATTTGGTGTTCTACGGCTGCCTGGCCGCTCTCTTCGTGGCCACCATCCAAGTGATGCTGCTCACCCTGGACGATTTCAAGCCCAAGTGGCAGGACCGCGTGAGCCCCCCCGGTGAGCCTCGGGGGGGGGGGCACGGGGGGACACACGGAGAGCCACAAGGACACGGGGGGGGGGACAATCAGCGTCTCCGTGTCTCTGACCCCTTGTCCCCCGCCCCCCGCCCGGTGCCCCCACCCCCCCGGTGCCCCCACCCCCCCCAGGGCTGTCGATGCGACCCAGAGCCCAAAAGATGGAGATCGCCTTCTCTGCGGACAGCAGCGACTCGTTCACAGCCCACGTGGGACAGCCTGAACCACCTGCTCGACTCGTACGCGGACGAGAAGCAGCAGAAGCTCAAGGACTGCGGTGAGATCCTCACCACCGACTCACCACCACCACCACCTACTCACCACCACCACCACCTACTCACCACCACCACCACAGCATCACATACTCACCACCACCACCACCTACTCACCACCACCACCACCTACTCACCACCACCACCACCTCCTCACCACCACCACCACACCACCACCTACTCACCACCACCACCACACCACCCCCTACCCACCACCACCACCACATCATCACCTACTCACCACCACCACCACATCATCACCTACTCACCACCACCACCTACTCACCACCACCGACTCACCACCACCGCCACCTACTCACCACCACCACCTACTCACCACCGCCACATCATCACCACCACCACCGCCACCTACTCACCACCACCCCCACCTACTCACCACCACCGACTCACCACCACCGCCACCTACTCACGACTACCACATACTGACCACCACACTCACCACCCCCACCTACTCACCACCACTACCACATCATCACCTACTCACCACTACCGCCACCTACTCACCACCACCACATCATCACCTACTCACCACCACCATCATGTATTCACCATCTCAAGTTGTTATTGCCGTTAAAATCCTCTTCACGTGGTTGCTGTGGTTGTAGTGATTGTGGTTGTTGTGGTGAATGTGGTGGTGATTGTGGTGGTGATTGTGGTGGTGATTGTGATTGTGGTGGTGATTGTGGTTGTGATTGTGGTTGTGGTGGTGGTTGTGGTGGTGATTGTGGTGGTGATTGTGGTGGTGATTGTGGTGGTGATTGTGGTGATTGTGGTGATTGTGGTGGTGATTGTGGTGGTGATTGTGGTGGTGATTGTGGTGGTGATGTGGTGGTGATTGTGGTTGTAGTGATTGTGGTGGTGATTGTGGTGGTGATTGTTGTGGTGATTGTGGTTGTAGGGATTGTGGTGGTGATTGTGGTGGTGATTGTGGTGGTGATTGTGATGGTGATTGTGATGGTGATTGTGGTAGTGATTGTGATGGTGATTGTGGTAGTGATGGTGATTGTGGTAGTGATGGTGATTGTGGTAGTGATAGTGATGGTGATTGTGGTAGTGATGGTGATTGTGGTGGTGATTGTTGTGGTGATTGTGGTTGTAGTGATTGTGGTGGTGATTGTGGTGGGTGATTGTGGTGGTGATTGTGGTGGTGATTGTGATTGTAGTGATTGTTGTGGTGATTGTGGTAGTGATTGTGGTAGTGATTGTGGTAGTGATTGTGGTGGTGATTGTGGCAGTGATTGTGATGGTGATTGTGGTGGTGATTGTGGTGATGATTGTGGTGGTGATTGTGGTGGTGATTGCGGTGATTGTGGTTGTTGTGGTGATTGTGGTGGTGATTGTTGTGGTGATTGTGGTGGTGATTGCGGTGATTGTGGTGGTGATTGTGGTTGTTGTGGTGATTGTGGTGGTGATTGTGGTGGTGATTGTGATTGTGGTGGTGATTGTGATTGTGGTGATTGTGGTTGTTGCAGGCGACTTCCCGCTGGGCCCGCATGACCAGGGCCCCGTGGTGATTGTGATTGTGGTGGTGATTGTGGTGGTGATTGTGATTGCTGTGTCTGCAGGCGAGTTCCCGCTGGGCCCGCGTGACCAGGGCCCCGTGGTGATTGTGATTGTGGTGGTGATTGTGGTGGTGATTGTGATTGCTGTGTCTGCAGGCGAGTTCCCGCTGGGCCCGCGTGACCAGGGCCCCGTGGTGATTGTGATTGTGGTGGTGATTGTGGTGGTGATTGTGATTGCTGTGTCTGCAGGCGAGTTCCCGCTGGGCCCGCGTGACCAGGGCCCCGTGGTGATTGTGATTGTGGTGGTGATTGTGGTGGTGATTGTGGTGGTGATTGTGGTGGTGATTGTGATTGCTGTGTCTGCAGGCGACTTCCCGCTGGGCCCGCGTGACCAGGGCCCCGTGGGAACGGGCCGTGGGCCCCGCTCGTCGTGCCGCTTCCGGCGCGAGTGGCTGGGGCCGTGCTCCGGCCTGGAGGATCTCAGCTTCGGCTTCGCCAGCGGGGAGCCCTGCATCATCATCAAGATGAACCGCGTCATCGGATTCGTGCCCGAGGTCGCTGGGGGCACAGTCGCGGGGTCACTCGCGGGGTCACTCGCGGGGTCATGGGGTCACTGGTGGGGTCACTAGTGGGGTCACTGGTGGGGTCACTAGTGGGGTCACTGGTGAGGTCACTAGTGGGGTCACTAGTGGGGTCACTGGTGGGGTCACTGGTGGGGTCACTAGTGGGGTCACTAGTGGGGTCACTAGTGGGGTCACGGGGTCACTAGTGGGGTCACTAGTGGGGTCACTTGTGGGGTCACTTGTGGAGTCACTGGTGGGGTCACTAGTGAGGTCACTAGTGGGGTCACGGGGTCACTGGTGGGGTCACTGGGTCACTAGTGGGGTCATTAGTGGGGTCACTCAGGGGTCACTCAGGGGTCACTAGTGGGGTCACTAGTGGGGTCACTGGGTCACTGATGGGGTCACTGTGTCTAACCCCGCATCTGTCCCCCACATGTCCCCAGGTGGCCCCCAACGCGAGTCTCCCCAATGAAGTTCTGCGTCACTACAACCCCAACATCATCCCCGTGACCTGCGCAGTAAAGGTCAGCCGGGGGGGGGGGGGTCACCAGTCACATGTGGTCAGGGGAGGCAGGGGAGGTAGAGCCTCCCCTGTCAAACTCCAATAAAAATATTTTAAAATAAAATATTCAGATTTTTCCACTGATCTGTGTTATAAATGTCATTTCTGTACGATAATTTTTAAAGTCAAAATCGCAACATTTGCGGAGCTCCGCTGCAAATAGAGGGAAAGACGAGAGGTGAGGCAGCGACGAGCTCAGCCTCCCCTCTGATTGCGCAACCCCTCAGTAACTGGATGGAGCGCGGGCAATAAGCGCGTGCATGTCACTATCTCAGTGTGTCACCAATGTGATGTTTGTAGACCCCTTCATTTCATGTCCTCGCCTTCCATACTCCAGGTAGGTAACTTATTTCACGTGTGTGTATAAAGATAGTTAGGCTCGCTGGTCTCGTCATGAAACTGCAATGAAAAAGCACCAAGGGAGGCAGCTATCACATCTGCCTCACTGAGGGGGACGTGTCAGACACGCCCCCTCAGTGAGGCCACGCCCCCCTCAGTGAGGCCACGCCCCTCAGTGGGGACACGCCCCCTCAGTGAGACCACGCCCCCTCAGCAAGGCCACGCCCCCTCAGTGAGGCCACGCCCCCTCAGCGAGGCCACGCCCCCTCAACGAGGCCACACCGCCTCAGTGAGACCACGCCCCCTCAGTGAGGCCACGCCCCCTCAGTGAGACCACGCCCCCTCAGTGAGGCCGCGCCCCCTCAACGAGGCCACACCGCCTCAGCGAGACCACGCCCCCTCAACGAGGCCACACCGCCTCAGCGAGACCACGCCCCCTCAGTGAGACCACGCCCCCTCAGTGAGACCACGCCCCCTCAGTGAGGCCGCGCCCCCTCAACGAGGCCACACCGCCTCAGTGAGACCACGCCCCCTCAGTGAGGCCACGCCGCCTCAGCGAGACCACGCCCCCTCAACGAGGCCACACCGCCTCAGCGAGACCACGCCCCCTCAGTGAGACCACGCCCCCTCAGTGAGACCACGCCCCCTCAGTGAGGCCGCGCCCCCTCAACGAGGCCACACCGCCTCAGCGAGACCACGCCCCCTCAGTGAGGCCACGCCCCCTCAACGAGGCCACGCCGCCTCAGTGAGACCACGCCCCCTCAGTGAGACCACGCCCCCTCAGTGAGACCACGCCCCCTCAGCGAGGCCACACCGCCTCAGTGAGACCACGCCCCCTCAGTGAGGCCACGCCGCCTCAGTGAGACCACGCCCCCTCAGTGAGACCACGCCCCCTCAGTGAGACCACGCCCCCTCAGCGAGGCCACACCGCCTCAGTGAGACCACGCCCCCTCAGTGAGGCCGCGCCCCCTCAACGAGGCCACACCGCCTCAGCGAGACCACGCCCCCTCAGTGAGGCCGCGCCCCCTCAACGAGGCCACGCCCCCTCAGTGAGACCACGCCCCCTCAGCGAGGCCACACCGCCTCAGCGAGACCACGCCCCCTCAGCGAGACCACGCCCCCTCAGTGAGGCCACGCCGCCTCAGCGAGACCACGCCCCCTCAGTGAGACCACGCCCCCTCAGCGAGGCCATACCGCCTCAGTGAGACCACGCCCCCTCAGTGAGGCCACGCCGCCTCAGCGAGACCACGCCCCCTCAGTGAGACCACGCCCCCTCAGCGAGGCCACACCGCCTCAGCGAGACCACGCCCCCCTCAGTGAGGCCACGCCCCCTCAGCGAGGCCACACCGCCTCAGCGAGACCACGCCCCCCTCAGTGAGGCCACGCCCCCTCAGCGAAGCCACACCGCCTCAGCGAGACCACGCCCCCCTCAGTGAGGCCACGCCCCCTCAGCGAGGCCACACCGCCTCAGCGAGACCACGCCCCCCTCAGTGAGGCCACGCCCCCCTCAGTGAGACCACGCCCCCCTCAGTGAGGCCACGCCCCCCTCTGTGTGAATCTGGCTCTGACGCGAGCCAGTGCCTCCCCAGCCATTGACCTCACTGCACGTCACTGGGGTCACAAGTCACAGGGGTCAGGGGTCACAGTCACTGGGGTCACAGTCACTGGGGTCACAGTCACAGGGGTCAGGGGTCACAGTCACTGGGGTCACAGTCACTGGGGTCAGGGTCAGTCACTGGGGTCACAGTCACAGGGGTCACAGTCACTGGGGTCACAGTCACAGGGGTCAGTCACTGGGGTCACAGTCACAGGAGTCACAGTCACTGGGGTCACAGTCACTGGGGTCAGGGGTCACAGTCACTGGGGTCACAGTCACAGGGGTCACAGTCACTGGGGTCAGGGGTGACAGTCACTAGGGTCAGGGGTCACGGTGGGGCTACCGCTGCATAACCATTGCCAGCAGGTGACTGGGGCCTACCACCGCTGTGTTCCACGGTCCACCCAACCCACGCGACCCCACCCACGCGACCCCACCCACGCGACCCCACCCACGCGACCCCACCCACGCGACCCCACCCACGCGACCCCACCCACCGACCCACCCACGCGACCCCACCCACGCGACCCCCCCACGCGACCCCACCCACGCACCCCACCGCGACCCCACCCACGCGACCCCACCCACGCGACCCCACCCACGCGACCCACCCACGCGACCCCACCCACGCGACACCACCCACGCGACACCACCCACGCGACACCACCCACGCGACACCACCCCACGCGACACCACCCACGCGACCACCACCCACGCGACCCCACCCACGCGACCCACCCACGCTACCACCCACGCGACCCCACCCCACGCGACCCCACCCACGCGACCCCACCCACGCGACCCCACCCACGCGACCCACCCACGCGACCCCACCCACGCGACCCCACCCACGCGACCCCACCCACGCGACCCCACCCACGCGACCCCACCCACGCGACCCCACCCACGCGACCCCAACCCACGCGACCCCATCACGCGACCCCACCCACGCGACCGCACCCACGCGACCCCACCCACGCGACCCCACCCACTCACGTGACCACACACCCACAGCGACCCCACCCACGCGACCCACCCACTCACGTGACCACACCCACCTCCTGCCCACCCCTTCCATCAACCACCACCTCCATCCACCCCCATGTCACCAACCCCTCCCTCCACGTCAACCACCACCTCCTGCCCCACCACCAACCACCCCCCCTGTCCCCCCCTGTCCCCCCCCCCCGCCCCCAGAGAGAGGAGGACCGCGACATGGTGGGCGGCTTCTCCTACCACGGCATGGGCGGCCACGCGGGCTTCCCGCTGCAGTACTTCCCCTACTACGGCCTGCGCCTGCAGGAGGACTACACGGCGCCGCTGCTCGCCGTGCGGGTGCTGAACGCGACGCGCGGCGCCGAGCTGCGCCTCGAGTGCCGCGTGCACGCCGCCAACGTGGGCACCAGCGAGCGCGACCGCTTCCTGGGGCGCGTCGAGTTCAAGCTCACCGTGAGGCCCGACGGCGAGACCGCCGGAGACTAGGCGGCAGCGAGAGACGAGGGGGTCGCCACGGAGACCGCCGGCGACTTGGGTATCCCGCCGTCACCGTCGCCACGGAGACCACCGGCGGCTAGGTACCCACCGTCACCACCGTCACTGTCACCGTCGCCATGGAGACCGCCGGCGGCTAGGTACCCACCGTCACCACCGTCACTGTCACCGTCGCCACGGAGACTGCCGGCGGCTAAGTACCCACCGTCACCACCGTCACTGTCACCGTCGCCATGGAGACCACCGTGACCATGGACACAACGGGCGACGATGGATTCACCGTCACCAGTTGCCATGGAGACCAGTGGTGACGACAAAACCGCCTTCATCACCACCGTCACCGTGGAGACCACAAGCAATATACCCCCCACCCGTTGCCATGGCTACCCCGAACCCCTCTCAACACAGAGCCCCTAGGGAGCCGCTGAGACCCTGCCACCTCCAACGGTGGTGGTGGTGGTGCGGTGGTGGTGGTGCGGTGGTGGTGGTGCGGTGGTGGTGGTGCGGTGGTGGTGGTGCGGTGGTGGTGGTGCGGTGGTGGTGGTTGTACCGTAACGTTACAGCAACAGCTGCAGCAACAGCAGCAGCAGCTATGATAATAAAAATGATGACTATGAGTCGTGTCGGTGTTGTTAAGGAGTTTTATCATTACCAGAGGCTCGGAGGGAGGGGGGGGGGCGGGGGAAGGGAGGGGGGGTGGAGGAGGAGCAGGGGGTGAGGATGCGGTGAGTGGTGGTGGAGTGGTGGTGAGTGGTGGTGAGTGGTCGTGAGTGGTGGTGAGTGGTGGTGAGGATGCGGTGAGTGGTGTTGGAGTGGTGGGGGAGTGTCGTGAGTGGTGGTGAGTGGTGGTGAGGATGCGGTGAGTGGTGGTGGAGTGGTGGTGAGTGGTGGTGAGTGGTCGTGAGTGGTGGTGAGTGGTGGTGAGGATGCAGTGAGTGTGGTGAGTGGTGGTGAGGATGCGGTGAGTGGTGGTGAGGATGCGGTGAGTGGTGGTGAGTGGTGGTGAGGATGCAGTGAGTGGTGGTGAGTGGTGGTGAGGATGCGGTGAGTGGTGGTGAGTGGTGGTGAGTGGTCGTGAGGATGCAGTGAGTGGTGGTGAGTGGTGGTGAGTGGTGGTGAGTGGTGGTGAGTGGTGGTGAGGATGCGGTGAGTGGTGGTGAGTGGTGGTGAGGATGCGGTGAGTGGTGGTGAGTGGTGGTGAGTGGTGGTGAGGATGCGGTGAGTGGTGGTGAGTGGTGGTGAGTGGTGGTGAGGATGCGGTGAGTGGTGGTGAGGAGCAGGGGGTGAGTGGGTGGTGAGTGGTGGTGAGTGGTGGTGAGTGGTGGTGAGTGGTGGTGAGGAGCAGGGGGTGAGTGGGTGGTGAGTGGGTGGTGAGTGGGTGGTGAGTGGTGGTGAGGAGCAGGGGGTGAGTGGTGGTGAGTGGTGGTGAGTGGTGGTGAGGATGCGGTGAGTGGTGGTGAGGAGCAGGGGGTGAGTGGTGGTGAGTGGTGGTGAGTGGTGGTGAGGGAGTGAGCGAAGCGGTGAGTTTCTTGCTTGAACTCTCAGGGTTCAGTTGTCAAGAATCCGGAAGAAATATTCAACCTGCGGAGACACGGGGACACAGGGGAGACACGGGGTCACGGAGACACGGAGACACAGAGACACAGAGACACGGAGACACAAAGACACGGGACACAGAGACACGGAGACACAGGGGAGACACGGAGACACGGAGACACAGAGACACAGAGACACGGGGCACAGGGGAGACACGGGGTCACGGAGACACGGAGACACGGAGACACAAAGACACGGGGACACAGAGACACGGGGGCACAGGGGAGACACGGGGACACAGGGGAGACACGGGGACACGGGGAGACACGGGGACACAGAGACACGGGGACACAGAGACACGGGGACACAGAGACACGGGGACAAGAGACACGGGGACACAGAGACACGGGGACACAGAGACACAGAGATACGGGGACACAGGGGAGACACGGGGACACAGGGGAGACACGGGGACACAGGGGAGACACGGGGTCACGGGGTCACGAGACACGGAGACACAGAGACACGGGACACAGAGACACGGGACACAGGGGAGACACGGGGACACAGGGGAGACACGGGGTCACGGAGACACAGAGACACGGGGACACGAGACACGGGGTCACGGAGACACGGGGACACAGGGGAGACACGGGGTCACGGAGACACAGAGACACGGGACACAGAGACACGGGGACACAGAGACAACGGGGACACATAGACACAGAGACACGGGGACACAGGGGAGACACGGGGTCACGGAGACACGGAGACACAGAGACAACAGAGGACACGGGGACACAGAGACACGGGGACACAGAGACACGGGGACACATAGACACAGAGACACGGGGACACAGAGGGGAGACACGGGACACAGGGAGACACGGGGACACAGGGGAGACACGGGGACACAGGGGAGACACGGGGACACAGGGGAGACACGGGGACACAGGGGAGACACGGGGTCACGGAGACATGGAGACACAGAGACACGGGAACACGGAGTGAGACAAGCACGGCACACCACACCAGTAGCAGCCAATCTCCCACTAAGTGGTGGTGACATCACCACGGCGCTCGTGCCAGACTAGGTACACTATGGGCTCAACAACAACTGGCGGGGGTCATGTCACTACGGCACGTGTGCCAGGCTAGGTACACCTGCAGGGTGTAATCGCTGCTGGCAGCTCACGGGACGGACCCAGGTGCTGTGGGGTCGACTGACTGAGATGAGTGGCCGATGCACCACCTGTGCCCTCTACTGTGCAACTTGCTACATTTTAGCTACCCGGCGCTCCGCTCGTTGTTGTGAGCATCGCTCCTCTGCCCTCCTCCGTTGTTGCTGGAGGCGACTGCCTCCAGCTGCCCAGCAGCAGCGTCCTTCACGAGGCCGATCTTGACAACTGGTACCGGTCTTCGGCAAATCCACTCAGCTCCACATCCTCCCGTACCAAATTGGTCCAATTCTTCAACAGCCCGTGCCACTCACTCACTCACTCACCCCCACTCACCCTCACCCCCTCTCACCCCTCACTCACCCCCACTCACCCTCACTCACCCCCACTCACCCCCACTAACCCTCACTCACCCCCACTCACCCCCAAACACCCTCACTCACCCCCACTCACCCCCACTCACTCCTCACTCACCCCCACACACCCCCACTCACACCACCCTCACTCACCACCCACTCACCCCCACTCACCCCCACTCACCCTCACTCACCCTCACTCACCCCCACTCACCCCCACTCACCCCCACACGCCCCCACTCACCCCCACTCACCCCCACTCACCCTCACTCACCCCCACTCACCCTCACTAACACCACCCACTCACCCCCACTCACCCCACTCACCCCTCACTCACCCCCACTCACCCCCACTCACCCTCACTCACCCCCACTCACCTTCACTCACCCCCACTCACCACCCACTCACCCCCACTCACCCCCACTCACACCACCCACTCACCCCCACTCACCCCCACTCACCCCACCCACTCACCTCCACACACCCCCACTCACCCCCACACACCCCTACTCACACCACCCACTCACCTCCACACACCCCCACTCACCCCACCCACTCACCTCCACACACCCCCACTCACCCCCACTCACCCCCACTCACCCCACCCACTCACCTCCACACACCCCCACTCACCCCACCCACTCACCTCCACACACCCCCACTCACCCCCACACACCCCTACTCACACCACCCTCACTCACCACCCACTCACCCCACCCACTCACCTCCAGCTCCCCATCCTCCACGAGGTCAGTGCAGTGGACCGCGTTCTGGATTTTGTCTGTGCCCAGCGCTGCGCGCAGAGAGGCTGGGCGCAGCATTCGCCCCACTTCCTGTGAAGGGGAGAGACGGGGGGCACGGAGAGAGTGGTAGTGAGTGAATGGTAGTGAGTGGTAGTCAGTGAGTGGTAGTGAGTGGTAGTGGTAGTGAGTGAGTGGTAGTGGTAGTGAGTGAGTGGTAGTGAGTGAGTGGTAGTGAGTGAGTGGTAGTGGTAGTGAGTGAATGGTAGTGAGTGGTAGTGAGTGAATGGTAGTGAGTGGTAGTGAGTGAGTGGTAGTGAGTGAGTGGTAGTGGTAGTGAGTGGTAGTGGTAGTGAGTGAGTGGTAGTGAGTGAATGGTAGTGAGTGGTAGTGAGTGAGTGGTAGTGGTAGTGAGTGGTAGTGAGTGAGTGGTAGTGAGTGGTAGTGAGTGAATGGTAGTGAGTGGTAGTGAGTGAGTGGTAGTGGTAGTGAGTGGTAGTGGTAGTGAGTGAGTGGTAGTGAGTGAGTGGTAGTGAGTGAGTGGTAGTGAGTGGTAGTGAGTGAGTGGTAGTGAGTGGTAGTGAGTGAGTGGTAGTGAGTGAGTGGTAGTGAGTGAGTGGTAGTGAGTGGTAGTGAGTGAGTGAGTGGTAGTGAGTGGTAGTGAGTGAGTGGTAGTAAGTGGTAGTGAGTGAGTGGTAGTGAGTGGTAGTGAGTGAGTGATAGTAAGTGAGTGGTAGTGAGTGAGTGGTAGTGAGTGAGTGGTAGTGAGTGAGTGGTAGTGAGTGGTAGTGAGTGTTAGTGAGTGAGTGGTAGTGAGTGAGTGGTAGTGAGTGGTAGTGAGTGAGTGGTAGTGGTAGTGAGTGGTAGTGGTAGTGAGTGAGTGGTAGTGAGTGAGTGGTAGTGAGTGAGTGGTAGTGAGTGGTAGTGAGTGGTAGTGAGTGAGTGGTAGTAAGTGAGTGGTAGTGAGTGAGTGGTAGTGAGTGAGTGAGTGAGTGGTAGTGAGTGGTAGTGAGTGAGTGGTAGTAAGTGAGTGGTAGTGAGTGGTAGTGAGTGAGTGGTAGTGAGTGAGTGGTAGTAAGTGGTAGTGAGTGGTAGTGAGTGATTGGTAGTAAGTGAGTGGTAGTGAGTGAGTGGTAGTGAGTGAGTGGTAGTGAGTGAGTGGTAGTGAGTGGAAGTGAGTGAGTGGTAGTGGTAGTGAGTGGTAGTGGTAGTGAGTGGTAGTGAGTGAGTGGTAGTGAGTGAGTGGTAGTGAGTGAGTGGTAGTGAGTGAGTGGTAGTGAGTGGTAGTGAGTGAGTGGTTAGTGAGTGGTAGTAAGTGGTAGTGAGTGAGTGGTAGTGGTAGTGAGTGGTAGTGAGTGAGTGGTAGTGAGTGAGTGGTAGTGAGTGGTAGTGAGTGAGTGGTAGTGAGTGAGTGGTAGTGAGTGGTAGTGAGTGAGTGGTAGTGAGTGAGTGGTAGTGAGTGGTAGTGAGTGGTAGTAAGTGGTAGTGAGTGAGTGGTAGTGGTAGTGAGTGGTAGTAAGTGAGTGGTAGTGAGTGAGTGGTAGTGAGTGAGTGGTAGTGAGTGGTAGTGAGTGAGTGGTAGTGGTAGTGAGTGGTAGTGGTAGTGAGTGAGTGGTAGTGAGTGAGTGGTAGTGAGTGAGTGGTAGTGAGTGAGTGGTAGTGAGTGAGTGGTAGTGAGTGAGTGGTTGTAAGTGAGTGGTAGTGAGTGAGTGGTAGTGAGTGAGTGGTAGTGAGTGGTAGTGAGTGAGTGGTAGTAAGTGAGTGGTAGTGAGTGGTAGTGAGTGAGTGGTAGTGAGTGAGTGGTAGTAAGTGGTAGTGAGTGAGTGGTAGTGAGTGGTAGTGAGTGAGTGGTAGTAAGTGAGTGGTAGTGAGTGAGTGGTAGTGAGTGAGTGGTAGTGAGTGGTAGTGAGTGAGTGGTAGTGAGTGGTAGTGAGTGAGTGGTAGTGAGTGGTAGTGAGTGAGTGGTAGTGAGTGGTAGTGAGTGAGTGGTAGTGAGTGAGTGGTAATGAGTGAGTGGTAGTGAGTGGTAGTGAGTGGTAGTGAGTGAGTGGTAGTGAGTGGTAGTGAGTGAGTGGTAGTGAGTGAGTGGTAGTGAGTGAGTGGTAGTGAGTGGTAGTGAGTGGTAGTGAGTGAGTGGTAGTGAGTGAGTGGTAGTGAGTGGTAGTGAGTGGTAGTGAGTGAGTGGTAGTGAGTGGTAGTGAGTGAGTGGTAGTGAGTGGTAGTGAGTGGTAGTGAGTGAGTGGTAGTAAGTGAGTGGTAGTGAGTGGTAGTGAGTGAGTGGTATGTGAGTGAGTGGTAGTAAGTGTTAGTGAGTGATGGTGGTAAGTGAGTGGTAGTGAGTGAGTGGTAGTAAGTGAGTGGTAGTGAGTGAGTGGTAGTGAGTGAGTGGTAGTGAGTGAGTGGTAGTGAGGTGTAGTGAGTGAGTGGTATGATGGTAGGAGTGGTAGTGGTAGTGAGTGGTAGTGAGTGAGTGGTAGTGAGTGGTAGTGAGTGAGTGGTAGTGAGTGAGTGGTAATGAGTGAGTGGTAGTGAGTGGTAGTGAGTGGTAGTGAGTGAGTGGTAGTGAGTGAGTGGTAGTGAGTGGTAGTGAGTGGTAGTGAGTGAGTGGTAGTGAGTGAGTGGTAGTGAGTGGTAGTGAGTGAGTGGTAGTGAGTGGTAGTGAGTGAGTGGTAGTGAGTGGTAGTGAGTGGTAGTGAGTCACCCACGGGGTCCGAGGGGCCGCAGAGTTCCCGGAACCTCCTCACGGCGTCGTCGCCTCTCACCTCAAGCGCCACGCAAACCCCGGCACACAACTCCTGAGCCATCGCCTGTACACACACACACAGTGTACACACACACACAGTGTACATACACACACACACAGTGTACACACACACAGTGTACATACACACATACACAGTGTACACACACACAGTGTACACACACACAGTGTACACACACACACACAGTGTACACACGCACAGTGTACACACACACATACACAGTGTACACACACACACACAGTGTACACACACACACATACACAGTGTATACACACATACACAACTCCTGTGCCATCGCCTGTACACACACACACAGTGTACACACACAGTGTGTACACACACACACACACAACTCGTGAGCCATCGCCTGTACACACACACACAGTGTACATACACACACACACAGTGTACACACACACAGTGTACACACACACACGACTCCTGAGCCATCGCCTGTACACACACAGTGTACACACACACAGTGTACACACACACATACACAGTGTACATACACACACAGTTTACACTCACACACATACACAGTGTACACACACATACACAACTCCTGAGCCATCGCCTGTACACACACACACATACACAGTGTACATACACACACAGTTTACACACACACACATACACAGTGTACACACACATACACAACTCCTGTGCCATCGCCTGTACACACACACACACATACACAGTGTACATACACACACAGTATACACACACACAGTGTACACACACACACAACTCCTGAGCCATCGCCTGTACACACACACACATACACAGTGTACACACACACAGTGTACACACACACAGTGTACACACACACACAACTCCTGTGCCATCGCCTGTACACACACACACACAGTGTACACACACACAGTGTACACACACACACAACTCCTGTGCCATCGCCTGTACACACACACACACACAGTGTACACACACAGTGTACACACACACAGTGTACACACACACACACACAACTCCTGTGCCATCGCCTGTACACACACACACACAGTGTACACACACACACACAACTCCTGAGCCATCGCCTGTACACACACACACAGTGTACACACACACACACAGTGTACACACACACACACAGTGCACACACACACAGTGTACACACATACAGTGTACACACACACACACAGTGTACACACACACACACAGTGTACACACACACACACAGTGTACACACACACAGTGTACACACACACACAGTGTACACACACACACAGTGTACACACAAACACACAGTGTACACACACACAGTGTACACACACACACACAACTCCTGAGCCATCGCCTGTACACACACACATAGTGTACACACACACAGTGTACACACACACAGTGTACACACACACACAGTGTACACACACACACAACTCCTGAGCCATCGCCTGTACACACACACACAGGTGTACACACACACAGTGTACACACACACACACAGTGTACACACACACAGTGTACACACACACAGTGGACACACACACACACACAACTCGTGTGCCATCGCCTGTACACGCACACACAACTCCTGAGCCATCGCCTGT